GTGAGGTATATAACACCTGAGCTCTTGGGAAGCGCTGATAACTTGCAATTTCTGATAATCCATATTGTATAAGACTGTCATCTTCCCATCAGTAAGGAAAAATGAATCACAATCTGGGTGAATTGCCAACATCTTGTAGGACTCGTCATCTTTGCGAGAATGCCTTTCGAACAGTACCAAAACATTAGCAGTGTGCTTTAGGGTCCATTTTCCGCTAGCATAATCCTCAAGAACCCAAAGGAAGAGTTGACAACAATCATCTACACTCCAAGCATGCAAGCACCCCTGAGAGAGTCCAATGGCTGCTTCCGCCAAGCATAGCGCTTTAATTTCTCTCCAAATCTTTTCCTCTCCGTCTACTGTTACTATAGAAGAATTAAAGGTAGTCAAATGGATAATTCTATTCAGAAAGATGGCAGGTTTGGCCGTATGCATCGTTCTGATGCAGAGGCCGGAGAGTCCCTCAGATTGATCACGACGCACCACAGCGTCGCGACTCCACTCATTCAGCGCGAAAGTCCACCGTCCAGTTTCCGATGAGTAGATCGCCACTTTTTCGATTACATCAAAATAATCTGCCAGGGGCACGACCACCACAAAACTGGAGGGGTTGGCTGTATCAAAACCCAAAAAACGTTCGGCTTGGTCTACATCAGAAAGGTGACCTCCCACGAGACGGAGAATCTCTGGCCGGTCCCGGACCTCTATAGCAGGCAATGCAGTACACTTCTCAGTCGCCGGATTGCACACGACATAATCAAAGTCCTTTAGCACTGAGCGCGGTTTCTAGCACATGCAAAGTAGAAGTCCGCCGCAGCATTTTTCGACACTGCATTTTTTATATTAATAACTGGTCAAGAAAGAAAGACCGGCATTGAACAAAGGGGGGCCACCCCCTGCCAGATCATGGAAATAGAGGCCCTCATCACGGTCCTCTCCGAAGAAGTAGAGGCTGGACAGCAGGGTCAGCGGCGACCTCTTGCGGATGTCGAGACCGGAGCAGAGGGCGAGCCAGGGCTTGGAGACGCACTTGAAGCGGCAGAGCGACTTGTAGCGCACCCGTGAGAGGATCTCAATTATGACGTCGTCGGGGAGGTCCGCCGTGGGCTGCTGCCCGTGCTCGCGCATCAGCTTCTTCTTCTTCTTCTTCTTCTACAAAAGGAAGAGACGATTCGTTCAGGTTTCCAATTCTTTTTCTTAGATGGAAGATTGGAAGATTTAGAAGAAGAGGCGGAAGAACAAACCTCTGGAGCAACGATGTGGAGCGGTGGCGAACGGGACAGAGCGTCCTCGCCGCGGCCACGGGGGCTGGTCGCCGGTGGGGGATCCTGCTCCGTGGCACCATATCCTCCTCGTCCTCCTCCACCTGGCGACATCGTCTCCTCGGTATACCGGGACTATGACACGAACTTGATCCTCGCCTGATCGGCTTATTAGTTATTATTAGTTGAATGCTCATGCGTTGCGACGGGTCTTAAAAATGTATACACTGGTCATTGTTATAATTCAGAAGTGTATGTCAAACATGATTGATATTCATTCATATAACGGCAACTTCCAATTCTTTCTCCCACTTCGTTCTCTATCATGTCTCTTTTTTAACGTGAAATAGTAGGGGAGACCCCTAATGTATATTTTACAAAATTAGAAGTGTGTCCTTAACTCCCTATGTCATCGTCTCTTTCAGTACCTTCCCTGCATCGAGAAAAAGCGGTTTTCTCCCCGTCGTTCCTCCTTCCACATTCATGGAATCCATCAATCTTTG